CCCTCCTCTGGAAACACTTGAAACTTGATAATTTTAAACCTACTCTTCAATCCCCAGCGAGAGTTTCTGCTCCTTGATTTTAATCAGACATTCACTTACTAATTCCCCAGCACTCGATTCTACACCTCATTCTAGGTTTGTTGGCTTAGAAGTTTGTGTTCATTTTGTTGATCTCGTCGGTCAACGTAAATACGCGTGGTGTGCTTGCCCATCACACCACACCTATTGGGGCTCCATTTATTGACCTCACTTTTGGTTGAGGTTTAGTTTTCCCTCTTTAGTAGCCTAGGTTCTAGCCATAGGACTTTCTTATTTACTATTCCTAGAAAACTAGTAAGGAACCCTCACCATTAGAAATTCTAAACTCCTCTTTGCTCAACTTGAAGTTCCACATATTGGTCCTAACCTTTAGCACTTAGTAGCTGGGGTCAGTAAGGGGCATCTCAAGGAGGGTCCCTGTAGGACTGCTTGACCTAAGGGTCGACTCTGGGTGTTGATTTGGAGCTAGTCCACTCACTTACACTCACTATTACTCACAATCACTCACAACCCCAAACCCAAAATTGTTGACTTTGGTCCCTTGATCTTTTGGGAGGCTCATGTAGATGGCCCTCTAGAGTTAATACCAGTACATAGAGGACCCAAATGGGGATCTCATTGGTCTATATTTCATACGTGGTGGTTGGCACCCCAATTCTACCAAAAAATGTCCAACTTGGCCTCTTGCCCCTAAATCCACCTAAATTACCCAAACACCATTGAAACCCTAAATTTTGTCAAATCCTCAAATTCATCCAAAATACCCAAACTTATTCAAAAACCATCTCAAACCCTTTGAAAATACCCAAATTGCCTAAATCCACCCAAAAATTCTAAAATTACCAAAACACCCCCAAATTAAATGACCAAAATACCCCAAATTTGCCAAAATTACAAAAATACCCTTGGCACCCTAAACTTTCCTAAAACCTCCAAAATCACTTTAAATGTCTCCAAAACAAATTTGGACCCCTCAATTGTTCCCAATTTGGCCAATTTGACCATTTTGACCAAAACCCCCAAATTGTCTTTAAAGGTCCAATTTCTAAAATTTACCTCAAATGTCTAGCAATTTGGCCCCAATTCCCCTCAATTTCAATTCTAAACTCAAATTTATCTTTCATTTGATCAATCCAAACCAAATCCAAGCCTAATTGACCCATGTTTTGAGCTCAATTTTTATCTAAATCAAACCCCCCATTTTAGCCTTATGACCTAATCTCACATTATTGAACCTTATAGCCTACTAAATTTGCTCTATTTTGAATCCTAAACTTTTCATAACACTCCTACACATCGCCTTTTTGAAGCCTCAATTTCATTTAATTTTAACCCAAATTCAAAATCCCCAAATTTGCCCCAAATTGGCTGTCTCCAAATTCCACCAAATTAAATGCCCTAACCCTAAAATTGACACCTAATTTATGTTAGAAACTCTTCATGATATTCCTATAGACCATTTTGAACTATAAATTTGGGCTTAGTCCAACCTTAGCCCAACCTAGACCCAAGTCTAGTCCAACATGCACAAATTGACCAAAATCCCAAAATCTTTCAAATTGAGCTTACAATTGAACTTAAAATTACTTCAATCCTTCACCAAAAATCTTCATAAAAATCATTTACCCCATTTTTATCAATCAATTGAACTCAATGTCTTTGCTAGCCTAACCCAAACCCAACTTCTAGCCATTTGATCCAAATTGAACCCCTTCACTAAAAATTGGCTTAGCCATACCTAAGCCACCAAATTGATTACACCACAGCCACCAAGTACACCCTTTGGACCAGGCTAAACCAACATAAACCAGTAAAGGTGAGCTATGGACCAATGTTCCCTTGATTTAAGGGATTTCTCCCCATACTTAGCTCTTGGCTTAAACTCAAATATCTTCTTCATCATCACTTAACCTTAGGAGTTAACCATCATTAGCAGCTCCCTGACTTCCTTGAGCCAAGAAGTTACCAAACTCTTGCCAGCCACCACCTTAACCACTGGAAACAGCCACCCCAAGGAGCCCCAAATGGCCAAAACCCAAAATTAAACCTCCCTAACTTGGCTCATTCCCATTGGCCATTGAAGCCTTTCTTCCCTTCACCTCAGCAAGCTTTAACACCCAACTCCAAGCCCTGAGCTCCACCAGGTAGCCATGGCTTTAAATGGACCTCTCCACGGCCAAGGAAGAGAGTGCTTGGAAACTTAAGGAAACTCTGCCAAAATCTCACAAGAGCTTCTCCAAACCATCCCAAGTGCAATCCCCTTGCTCTTAGCCATTGATAGCCACCCCTTACAGCTAATTTCTCCAATGGAATTTGCCCTAAAACCAGGACAGATCTCTCCACTCCACCACAGTGCACCAAACTTCAATTAATTGTACACACACCATTCTCACAGTGAAAGAAGTTGATTCCCCACAAAAGCCCCCTCTGAAACAGCCTCTAACCTAGCTTTAGGTCCTATTTGGGGCAGCTTAAATGTGTGGCGGCTTTTTTAAAAATGTCGCCCTAGTGTTTGGATATTGCGTTTTATAGGGGTTTTTTGAAACAGCATTTTTATATTATATTACACGCGGATCGCGGGTATATCCCCGCGATCCGCATTTGGGCTCCATTTTTTATTTCGCTACCCTCCTAAGCCCGCAGCCGACCTTCCTTTGAACATTCGGCGTCGATCCCACCTCCGTCACTCCGCAGGTAAAAAAACTCATTTTCCTCGCTCGACTCCTCCCTCCTTTCCCCCATTTCACCTAGAGATCTAAGATTTTGGCAAGAGATTTCACTCGATCCATCTTTTTGAAAGTTTTTGGTGGCTAAAACCTAGATCTGGTGTGAATATGCAAGTAGCGTCTGTAAAAATATAGATCCACTATTTTGTGATATGTTTGAAGCATCTAGAGGGTTTTCTTCTCCATTCCCCATCCCTACCTTTCTTCAAACAGTGTTTATTCATATGAACCGAAATTTTTTTTTTGTGTGTTTTGTTCGTATGGTCTCCATGCTATTCAATGTTATTGATTATTTTAGGGTATTTGTTGAGGCTAGAAGATATTAATGCAATGCTCTGTTCCTACGATTTGATTCTCTTAGGTTGATTTGGTATTTAAGTTACTTTATATTTTATTTTTTATGAGGATATATGATGAACTATTATCTATGAATATGTAGAAGATATGGGGTAGGGTAAATATGATCGTGTTTATGTGAAGAATATTGAATGTGCTTTGCAATAGCAATGATGTTCAACAAAGTCAAATGGCATAGTGCAAATGACAATTGAAATTGGATTGCCTACTATTTCTAAAATGGAGTGTATTGCATTTATTGAACAAAAAATGGAGCTTTTGTTGTCGGCTCGTTGTCGGCTCATTTGTGCAAAATAAATGGCAAAATGTATGTGGTTAGTGGGATCAGTTTCAATGTTTTTTTCACTAATAATGAGGTTAGTGGTGCAGTAATTGAAGCATAATTTTGAAGAAACTTGTTGTAGTACACTGTGAACTCCAAGAAACATCTTAATCATTTTTATTTGCTTTGATTTCTGTGGGACCAGCTTCTATGTTTTTTTCTAAAATCATGAATGTTCATTTTTTTGTATGAAAAAGCTTTTGGTGGGAGTGGTACATATCTTTGGTATTCTTTGAGCCATGTTTTCTGACTTTCTTCAACATGTCACATAATTTCTTAGAAGTTGTCAGTTCTATTTTTGGGACCATGCTATTTTTATTAGGAAGATTTACATAAACTTTGATTTTTACATATATGTCATCTTATCTATGCATTAGAAGGTGTAGTTTACTTTTTTTAAAGTAAATATAGTTATAGTTTTTATGTGATTTGAAAGATTTGGATGGTTTAAATGTAAAAAATAAGGTTTTGGTATTAGATATGTAAATATATAATAATTTTGTGGTAGGTATGTTATTGCCCTTTTTTATTATTCATCTTGTTTATGGTGTAGACGAGTTAAGCCGAGCTTATTATTTAAACAAGTGGGCTTGATTGGGACGAGATCATTATGATAGAATTGGTTAAAGAAACAATTTTGTTGTGTCGATGTTTGTTCACAACTGAATGGGTAAAAAAGCTTGCTTTATTGTTATTTCTTGCATATGTGGTTTTGTAAGAATGAAAGTTTGGGCGATAATTATTTTAGAGCTCTCACGTTCTGTTTATGCAAATAGTTTGCACTGGTTCAATGAATATTCTATTATCGAGATGGTGATAAGCTTGTTTACTTCAATGAAGGTGTTACTATTTATGCAACTCAACATTTTTTGCTTCGATGAGACCCCTGTCTTTACTTGTACGAAAGAAAATTGGCTATCACGAAATCTTTACTTGTACGAAAGAAAATTGGCTATCTTATTATGGTAGATCCAATACATTGTTATTGAAGCAAGTTTTTCCAAGTAGGTTTTTTAGCAAGCAATGATGATGCCATTTGGGTTGTTGGTTTAGAATTTGAAAGTTGGGTGAAGAAAATATGCTTTATGGTCCTTTGGGTTGTCTCTGCTAGCATTGGTTTAGAGTTTCTAATATGCTCTATGTGTTCCAAATTTCAATTGGTTATTACTCAAATACGGTGGTACTATAATAATAGAGAAAAATAAAAAGAAAAGGTTTCATAAATGATGGTTATATGAAAAGCACATTTATGTTTCACCCATAGATCAATATATATTTTAATTCATTATCTTTTTTTAATTTTGTTTTACATATGCATATTCCATATCTTAAGTGTCTCATTTTCAGTCATAATGTCATATACCCATCCGTTGATATGACAATAAAAGATGAGTAAATCTAAAGACTCTGGTTCATAGGCTATGTGGGATAGAGAGGCTACTAATATTTTTTGTGATCTATG